TAAATATATGTGTTGAGTACCCATTATTTGCCTTTGGAATTGTCCACAACCTTAACTTCCACTTGTAACATTTTTTCTATAATATTTTCCATAGTAATTTCAAAATTTTGAACTATGCATTTTATTTTTTTGGCTGGCTCCAACATGGATTTATATAAACCTGTATAAGAAAAAAAAAAGCAAAAACAAAAAAAAAAAAACCCTATATTACCTATGGTCTTTCTTTCTAAGTGTTCATTTTATCTAAGCTTTCCTGCCCAAAATAATTCTCAGTGCAGGATAGGAAGATTGACCCCACTGCACGAAAAATGAAAAATAATGCAGCTTCAGAAAGAAAGTCCCATGGCAAGCATGATGAAAAATGTGCTCAGCAGGAGCCCAGAGTGAGGGCTGGAGAAGGGGCGAGTGTAATTTATGTAGCCTCATAGAAACTTAAGTCAGCATTCTCCACTATTGGGCTCTGAGGTGTCAGAAGAGGTTTTATAGATCAGCAGGGTTTTTCCAGTGATTATCCATGCTTCTACTCCTTCAGCAGGGAAGCCCTGGTTTTATGGAATTACCTGGTCAGTAGGCAAGCTGGGTGTTAGAATTCTAAGCAGACTGCCCCTCTTCCTTAAAAGCAGCAGGCAGCAAAACAGGTCCGGAAATTCCTCAACACTGGGATTCCAGCACTAATGCAATTACCTGAAATAAAAGAAAGGGTCAGATAATGAGGGCTAAAGGTTTTTCCTCTTAAAGTAAAAGGCCAGGTAAACAAAACCAGCTGGCCCTGGAGCCAACAAACTCTCCCATTAAACGTTTTAAGAGGCTAATGAGCATAAGTGTCCAATTGTAGAATAGACCTGGAGACTGAATCTAGACTTCTGGGAGAAAAGGTAGATGAGGATGCACTGATGGTAAAGCCTAGATGGCTCAGACAAAAGGGGGCAAGACATGATTCTGGCAGAGGAGCCCTAAATGTCCACAATGAAATTGAAATTAGAGTAAGATGCTTTCACCAGGAGTCTCTAAGGTTTTGTCAGTATCCCTGTGAGTAAGCTTGAAAGTCTCAGTTGGGGCAGTCAGTTTTTAAGTTTACATGCTATATGATAGGATCTCAAATAGATTTTACATATCTAATTATAGGCAATTGTATATGTCCAAACTATAAACAACTCTGGAAGGGCAAAAAGCAAAATTTTAGCAATGAGTCTCTCCAGATGTCAGGCTTATAGGTAATTTTTCACTTCATATTTCAATCTCATTTGTGCTCGTTTTCTAATTTGTCCACAGTGAGCATTTCTTTTATAATAAATATAAAGGAAAGCATTTCAAATAAAATAAGATGATAATACACTGAACTGAAAATAAAATTTAAAACGGAATGTAGACAAGCTATTTGGTGACTGGTATATGGTTTCATTTATTTTGTATATTCTGCCATTCCTGGCTATTATCTGATGTGTGCTTTATATGACCTGCCAGTTTAGATACAGGAGTGAAGATTGCTGTTATTGAGCAAGACAGACTTTTTGACTCTGCATGAAAGTTTCAACCTTTTTGTATTTGTAGTAGTTGTAAAATAGTCATTACAGCACAGCTTTTCTTGGAGTGACTTTGTTCAACAGCTCAGTCAACTGTGCGATCTTAAGACATGAAACAACTATGGTTTACCTCAAAGTGTCAGTCTAAGTGCTTCTAAAACCATTCTGCAAGAGTGTATGTGGAAGTTACCAGAACACCTCTCATTGATAAATCATGCCCCTCTTTCTTTTATTTTATGATTTACTTGGTCTTTGGAATCTTTTATAGTCATCATTAAATTAATTAATTAAATCTCATGGAGACAGGTGAATAGCTAAGAGTCAACTTTATCTTCTCACTGAGAAAGACAGAAAAGCAGAGCTTTCCCCAATCACTGATCAGTTAGTTAGCATCTAGCGCTACTTTTTTTGTCCAGTGTTTACTGGAAAACACCACTGTTGGAGGTGGGGTTGTAATTCAGTGGTAACACTGATTGTCTTTTGTGTATGATGCCCTGGGTTTGATCACCAGAATCCCTTCACCCTCTAAAAAGGAAAAGTAAGAAATCATCGTTTTTTTTAGTAATTTATTATTATTGAAAGGTCACTGATTCACCTCCTTTGTGTCCAAATCTGTTTGATATGTTAGACCTGTCACTATATACAGCCATTATCAGAACCAAAATGATCTGTAACAGGCAGGTATTTTTCAAATAGCCACAAATTATCTATGCTGATGTTTTCTTAGAAGCTTCACATTCACAAAGGGCAAAATACAGCAAGTTAATTGTTTGAGAATATTGAGAAAAGGGGCCTAGAGATTTATCAGATTCATGCCTTGTGGTTAGATGATCCCCTCTCTCAAAAGCAATGCCAAGTTTGGATAACCGAAGTTTCTATTTCCATAGTATAACAAAATGGGGGGTGTAAACTTATGACTGTAAGCTGTTGAGACCTTTCAATATCATATTAGAATTCCTTTGACATCAAAATAAACTGAATGCAGACTGAGAGTGCTATGATGGTCAGTTTTGGGGGAGGAAAAGATCCTTTGCTAGATCAAAAGTGGAGACAATGTGCAGAACTATGTTCAGAAAGGATCTCTGACATGTCTCTTAACTTTCCTTATTTGCTTAGCAGGCCTACATGCAAGCCTGGCTTCAGCTATTATTAATAAACTGAAGAAGAGTCCAGATCAACATTTCCTGGATCTACTTTTTAATTCCTTCTCATATCTCCTACAGTCTAGTATGTATTTCTTCCTTGATAGTGTATCTTTGATATCTCAAACAATTCTTCATCTCCTTGAAAATCTATATGCGAGTCTGACTGAACTGTAGGTCCTTGGCTTCAGTGTTTTTGAAAACACTCTCTCTCAAGTCTATGGTCATTATTAACTCCTGTCCTTGCTCTTATCCACCATATAAGTTTTATAAATTTTCCCTTCCTTCACCAGCTGTTATTTCTTTTGGCCTCTGCTTATTTAGAGTCACGTCACTTCTTGGCTGGACAATTAGGATAACTTTGTGCATTGATTTTCTTGCTTGTGACTCTTCTGGCTTCAGTCCAACGAACAGCCTTTCCAATGAATAACCCAAGACCAAGAAAGATTGAATCTACCTTGCTAGATTAAAAATAAGATCAAAATAGGTTCTAAAGACTTAAGTCAAAATATTTATTTTAGATTTTAACATTATTCTGTCTTAATATGCCTACCTTTCAGGGAACTATTTCATCTATTTCAGTGTTTTAAAAAAAATCAGAGTGGCTTTCTAAGTGATTTTCTAAGTCACTCAGTGACTTTCTAAGAGGAAGAGGTTTGTAAAATATCTTAATAATGGATTTATCTGGCAATATATGTTGCAGTATTAAATATTTACCAAATCTGAGTTTAGCAATCTGTCCTAGGGATGATGTGATACATAGTATTGTTTCACTCCCTAAAGTAAGTAACTATCCAAATGGGTACCCTCTGACACAGCATTTCCACATTTTTAGAATTCTATACTCATACAGTGTATTAATCAGTCCCATATTATTTATAACCCATATTTCTGTGCTAAAATTAGAAAGTAACTAAAAGTTATTGGATACCTACTTGTACCAGGCACTTTGGGCTCATTATCTTTTTAATTTGCAATTAATTCTTAGAAATAGATACCACTTTTAAGAATAAGAAAACTGAGGTCCACAGAGACCAAGTTACTATCCAAGGTCATATATATAGTAAATACCAATCTGGAATTGAAACTCAGTTATGTCTGGCTGTAAAACCACATTCTTTTCCACGTGCCAATCAATCACTTAAACATTGCATTCTGTGGAAATGTTCTAAGGCATGCATGAGCATCCTTCATCTCCTACCAGAATGCTTGCTGACTTCAACCAAAACACTAGCTTTACAAAAAAAAAATAAATAAATAAAGTAAAACCTAACTATTCCAATACATCATATGTTGGTATGGGAATTTAACATTAAAAAGAAATTTTACATAGTTCTATAACATGTACTGATAAGTAGATACTTTATTTAAAATGGGAAAATCTGTCGTTAGTCATCAACCAAGGAAACCCTGCTGGGTTAGAAAAGATACCCAGGAATCATAAACATTTTTAAAAATGATTCAGTTCAGAATTTGGCAAAGATGAGGATAAAAGGCTTTGAGGTAATGAATGTCACCTAACACTGAGCCCATCCTATCTTTTTCTTCAGAATAAAGAGCCCACAGAGGAATTCCCATAAAGCTAGGTGGGCCTGTTTGGGTCACATGTTCACAACATAATGTCAGTACACTTGATGTTTCACTAAGCTACTTAATGAAAACCAGACCAAAAGAAGAAACCAATGCATACCAACTCTTCACTGTTTTAGGAGAGCACTCTAGGACTTTAATTTGGACCATTCATTAATGTTTTGTTCGTTTTTCTTGTTTACTCACTAATTCATCCCAGAGGCAATAAGAGATGATTCATTATAAGGTATTTTGCCGGGGAAGTGTGCTAGAGACTGAAATCTTGGAGACCCACTCACTGAGTGAATCAAATTTTTGCATTCATATTTATTTTCTTATGTAAAGTTGCATAAGCCTACCAAAATGTTTGAGTAATCTTTTGACACTGTCACATACTTTTATTACTCTAAGGTAGAGATAGAGATGGGTATGAGATGAGTATTAAACCATTTTCTCAAGGGAAAACGTGAAATTTTCCCATTACACAATTTGTATTATGGAATTCTTGTCAGTCCTCATAGAGAAAGCAATGGGTTTTATATGACAAGTGTTGAAAAAAATCACAGCACTTGTCTACAAATGGAAGCGGAAATGGATATAATAAAAAGCATATTTTTGTTTGAAAAGAACGTAGGGTCAAAACTTTTCAAAACATGAGAGCCCAGTGGAACCCTATGTTGTTTCCTCAGACAACACATATGTTTAGCTAAGGAATTATATTTGTTGTTCAAGAATTTATCTGATTCTTACTTTCTTTTCATTCCAGTTGCTACATTGATGGCCGGGTGGTCAAAGTGATGGACTTCCTGAAAACTCGCCTGTTAGACACACTCTCTGACCAGATTAGAAAAATTCAGAAAGTGAGTAAAAGTATCCTGGGAAAAGGAATGAGTTTGAGGATAAGACAAGGTAACGCCACTGGGTCCCCACTGGACTTTAGCACTATGGGATCCAGAGAAGAAAAACAGTGAAATAGTGCAGTCCAAATGGACATGGACACTCAGAACTATGTTAAACCAATCAGTGAACTAATTCAATTATCACATTATCCATATTCACAAACCCTTAATCCACATTCACATGTCCTAGATCTAGCCACCTCGAAAAAAATCCCTCACCTATGAGCACATGAGCCTTTGCTGCGACATCTAGATACAACCTAAACAGAAGAAATAAGTTCTACTGTAATAAACCACAGTAGGGTCACTATAGTTCCCAATGTGTATTGTATAGCTTATGACTAATTAGAAGAATGCAAAGCTTCCAAGCATAAAGAAATCATAAAGAGATAGAAATGCTAATTGCCCTTATAGTATTGACACATATTTTATACATGTATTGAAATATCACATAGTATCTGATAAACATGTCCCATATTGCAAGTTAATTAAAACAAAAATAAAATTTAAAAAATTCTATGAGGAAAATATATGCATAGTTTTTAAAAATGTTTTTCTTAATCTCTCTAACCTCATCCTTCATTAAAAATTAAAATCAATCATAAATTGTTTTTAAATCATTTTATCATAATAGCAAATATTTTAATAGTTTATTTCTAAATTGTGAACTTATAAGGAAAGGATGGGTTTACTTTGTTTTTTTGTGTGTGTGGGGGGGGTTATTTTAGATTAGTTTAAACAGAACAATTATCCATTCAGTGAAATTTTGGTCTTGAGCATTGACAATTCTGAGTTATATTTATATTATTCCTAGATGCCTTACAATCAGCCACGTAAAATCTCACATCTGTGAAGAGGAGGGAGAAGTTATATAATATTAAGCAATTGCATGTAGGTCTTTTCAAAATCAGATCTTTATTTAAACACATGTCTGATTGAACTTGTAGAAGTTGATCAAAATTGACACTGAAGGGTTAACAGTGGATCTCTTACCTATATGCAGAAGGACACTGGAAGGGGAGAGCTAGATTTAGCAGAGGGACTAGTACCACTTGGCTATTACAAACATGCCCAGGGGTCCCCTTGTTCTGGTTATCTCTTACTAGGCAACAAATTACTCCCAAAACTCAAAAACATAAAACAGTGATTTATTATGCTGATAGACTATATGAGCCAGGAACTTCCAGCGGGCATAACAGGAATGGTTTACCTCTGTTTTGCAATAATTGAAGCCTCAGCTGTAATACTTGAAGATTGGGATGACTCAAAGTTATACTCTGAAATTATCAAAAACTTGTTTACTCATATATCTGGTAGATAATGCCAACTATTAACTAGCACCTTAGTTAGGAAAGAATTTTTAAATAAGAATTTTGTAGTGACTTGCTCCCAAAGTTCTTAGTCAGATGCCCGTGGAGAAAGCCAGGTTGAATCTGTATCATCATCAGCTGTTAGTCTGTATTTTGAAGCAATAACCAAGACCCACGGACTTTCGAAGAGAAAAGAAATTAACTCCCCTGTTGATGAAAGAGTGGCAAGATTCTGGAAAAGCACATAGGACTAGAAATAGTTCCAGTAATAAGGTTTTTTTCTAAGATAATTTCTCAATTAAAAAAAAAATGTTCTTGGTGTCAGGAATCAAACTCATGACCTCGATCTTGCCAGGCAGGCACTGGGCTGCTGAGCCATATCCCTGACTCTCTAGTAAGCTTTGGAAAATACTGTTTTCTGTATTTCCACTTTCACTATTTCATTTAGTTTACCTTAAAGTCATTCCATAATTACTTTTCTTTTACAAATTCTTATTTTCACAACTCTGGCCAGCTATTTCCTTAAGTGAGTATCTGCTGGAAGTGTTTCTGGAACACAGACTCTCTGATATTTAACTCATGGAATTGCATTTCCACAATCTGTAGCAGCTTGGAGCCAACTTCAGAGCCTCCAGAATGAGAGGACTTCTCACCACATCCCACATGGTGCCTGCCCTGTGGATATGAGAACAGAGCAGGGTCACCAAATTTTGATTGTTGACAGGTTTCTTTGGCTTTTAACATCTTCAGGCTGAGTGGAAATCTGAAAAATAGAATCCAAAGCACAAAGTGGAGCAGACTAACTCTGTTTTACTTGTAAGGGTCACAAAAGTTCAGAGATTGGCTAAGGTTTTAATGTCTATGTATCTGGATATTTGTTTCTTCTTGTATTGCTCCATTTGCTCATGTCTAAGACATTCCTGACACCCACAGCTCAAAAGAGGAGAGATTTAATCTGGATCATGGTTTTCGGTGATTCAGGCCATAGTTGGCTGTTCCATGGCAGAACGTCATGGTAGAAGAGCAGGTGGAGCAAAGCTGCTCAGTTCATGGCAGCTAGGAAGCAGAGCAGGGAAAGAGGACCAGAGAGGAAAGGGCCAGGACCCACGGACCTTAAGGCCACATCTCCCTGAACCAGCAGACCACCAGAAGTGTGCTCTACCAATCTGAATCCCAAAGCCAAGTAAGTTTCCACTCCACCCAATCAACCACAGTTCTCTATCAGAAGATGGGAGAAGTCCTAAAGGCCCACCCCTCTTAGGCCCATGCTGACTAAAAAGGGACAGATTTCCTACCAAAATAGAGCCAAGTGAGAGTAGTTTGATATGTACCATGAGGCTGTTTGAATGGGAGACAGAGCACAGGATTTCAAATCTGATGGCCAGTACTGGAACTCAGGCTTTGTTATGTGGCCTTGAGCCAGTCCCTTGATTTAATTTTTGTTTCTTCATCTGAAAATTCACATTCTAAGTATACTGTTTTCTCCATTCTTAGGGAGATAAGGAAGGTCACATGTTCTGTTAGTTCCTATTGAATGGTAGTTCTTACTGTTTATAATTATTGTTAGTTATTTTAATAATAATTTCTGTGACTAGAAAAGCTTTATAGTACCTTTATCCTCTATTCATACTTTGCCCCCCTCCTCCTTTTTGAACACTGGAAAATATGATAGGTGATGTTTTTGGCATCTAAAAGGCAATGATTCAATTGCTAAAAACAGCTGTGGTTTCCGTGTTTGGACTGCCACTTAAAGAATTCTGTTTCCCAAGCAGTAAGCAAATAATTGGGTTGTATAATAAATCTACATGGTATTTTAGAAGCCAAACAAAGATACATTTAGAAAACTCACTCATTGGGATGAACTGCACATCCACTCTCTGTCTTCCATTAGAATATGGATAATCATTTGTACACGGGAGATAAGTGGGAAAAATAGTTGAGGATCTAACAGTGCAGAGAAGAGTCATATGGGAGAGTGAGGGATGTTTAGGTCACACTGCAGATGGTATAGTGTGGAGAGCTGGGCTGACTCCAAAACAGTGACGTAAGAACCAAGAAGAACCACTTTGGCTTAAGTCATTTGTGCTCTGCGATTTGTGTCTTCATTTCCTAAAGGAGTCACAATTTAATAAGCATTGGAAGGAGTTAGTTAAATCCTATTTATAGAGGAAACAGTTTCAAAAGTACTATCCTTGTTATTGCATCCAGAATGCTAAATAAACTGAACAATGGGCTTCCTCGATAATCTTCCTTCCTTTCATCTCCTTTCTTCCCTTCCTCTCTTTGTTTACCAACAGTTTATGGTATTCTTAGTATTTCCCAAGTCCCTGAGAATAAAAGAGTGAGCAAGACTGATACGAGGTTTGTCCTTATAGATTTTATGGTCTGACAGAAAAAAAATTGTTAAAGATAGTAACAGTAAGATGCAAAGAATCCCATAATAGGATGTTATGAGACCCATTGTAGGAAACACCTGTTTGACTTTGTGAAGGAAGGGAAGTCCTTCCAAAGGAAGTAACATGTAGGCTAACACATAAAGGATAGACCCTTCTCAGCTCCACTAGTGGTAGATATGTATGGCTAAAGTATATGTGTATAAGTATAAAGTTTTATATGATTCATACTATAAACATTGTTCTTCTGTTACTATCATCATTGTTAATAAAGTTCAATTCTACAGTCTCAGTAAGGCAGTAATATTATGCCTGTTCTTCCAGTGTATCTTAGTTACATATAATTATTTTGAAGTAGTTAATATATTAAAAAAAGAATTCTGTTTTCTCAATCACCCTTGTAATTTACCCACCTATTTGAGCTTCTTAGAATATCAAAATGTAAGAGAGTTTTTAAAAAATAAGCTATTCTTGAAGCTTATAGAAAAACTAGGAGGACAATTATAGGAAAAAGGATGATATTAATATTAATCTCATATGAAGAAAATTGGAAAATGAAAACATTAAATCATTAGGATAAAAACAGTAGTATCCTACAAACATCAATGTTTGATTGACTCATTTATTAATTCAGTTGCGCATTTAACAATTTTGAATGCTTATTTCAGTGTGCCAGTGCCTGCCTAGTGTCTATTGTTTGGCAAGTCTCCAATAAATGTTGGAGGAGTAAGTGCAAGATGGTGCAAGTGAATGAGAAAAATGAAATAAAAGTATTAAAGAAGCTGTGTTTTGTGTCATTCACATTTCAGTGGAAGGCAAGAGAAACACAAGGCAAAGAAGTATTCAGAATAACAGAGGAACTCAAATAAAAGCTGTACCATATTAGTACCTTGTTACAATATAGACAAGTGGTTCTAAGTTTTAAGGGGCTTGAGACTTACATTAGAGACTTCTTTAAGAAAAAAAGGAAATGAAAGTCAACTTGCAAATTTTAGAGATACCTGATTATATGAAGAACACATTAGTAAAGCTCTTCCCAGAATATTATTAGATGCCTATCAAGTAAGGAGCGAGAAGTGTAAAGTCCATGAGCTTTCCAGTAAATTAAGCTCTGTAATGTCACTTGGCGGTGTATATGCAAATGGGAGAATATGACCTAAGGGAACTTGGGATCTTCACATACAAGACAATAATAATAATATTATTATAGAAGAATCTAGCCTAAATATTATGTTTATCAAGAAAGAGAAGCAGAGTT